TGCGCAGGTCAATGCTCATGCTGTTGATCACTGGATTGATTGTTCCAGACTCGCTTATTTACAGACCGCCGCCATATAACTGGAATATTGCAGAGTGTGGTGTCAAACTCAACTCACTCACTAATAGAATACGCTAAAAAAAGTAAGAAGGACGCCAAGAAACGTCGGACTAAAATACCCCCAGTTGAGTGAAATGCAACCACAGTGTGTAAGATTACAGCTGATAGTTTATATAAAAACATAATATGTTGTTTTGCAACCCGTTGCCATTTATGATAATATATTTTATCTAAACATGTCGGAAAGCACACGTATAATCTCGAAAGCATGCCCGCAAAATCGTTAGAGTGAGTGAGTGAGTTGAAATTTTATGTCAATCGGCAATATTCCATTGGGTGAGTGCGTACGTTTTAGTGTTGCGCCGCTTTAAGCAATATTCCAGCTTCATGGGCTTCACACATTGTAACTGTGAAGGAGAAGGATTTACACCATCGTCAGATGCCATCAAATTGGACACAAATCTATATATCAATTAAAATAAAAGCAACGATTAAATAATGTGCTAGATTTAATTTGCTTTCAAATTGTGGGTCACTCAATTCGAAGAACGAGAGCAATTATGTAAACAAACGCTCGTGATAATTTGAATTTTTCACAGTTCATGGCGTTATCCTCATTAAATTAAACAAACGTCAACTATTTTAGCTACAGTCTTTATAATGTCAAAATGGCGATATGTGTTTTTCACCATTTTTGAAAACAATCACAAATGGTAATAAGCGATTTAACTACATAGGACTATTATATCATATATATCAACGTATCAAAGTACTTCAGTCCTTACGAACATGCTAATTGGTTTGTTGTATTTTCGCACATAACATTCTTCGATCGGGGGACGAGTCTTCTTGGAGGTTACGGAAAGGGGCGAATGGTGACGAATGGGACGAGTCGTCTTGGAGGTTACGGAATGGGGCGAGTGGTGACGAATGGGACGAGTCTTCTTGGAGGTTACGGAAAGGGGCGAGTGGTAACGAATGGGACGAGTCTTCATGAAGGTTACGGAAAGGGGCGAGTGGTGACGAATGGCTGTAAATACTATTTTAGGCCAAGTGTGTGAAGGGCGAATGGTACCTGACATACTTACCCTGTTCATGAACACTTGGTGTTCAGTGGTCCATTCACATGATTTCAATAATTATTTTGACCTATACGCCGACAATAACTTGCTTCTGAGTAAAGTCAAGACTGGCTATTCTTTTGCCCTGACCTTGCATATGCGTTTGGAAGAGTTGTTACCACTACTTTGTTGTCCGTGGTTTTTTACCACGACTTCGGGGACCGTAGTATTGCACAGGAACAAGAAGTCAAACTACTTTATAAACTTTCGCTGATGGATGGATCTACAGCAGAGAGCCCGTTATATAGGCCATAACTTTTGAGAGTGATTCGAAATGCTTTCCAAATTAGAATCAGACACCACCAAATCGAAAAAAAACTTTGAATGTATTTCTTGGTATTGCTGCTTTAAATGTAACATTCACAGACAAAGTCAGTACACTAAGGGTTCATATTTCAAATTGCAGGTTGTTTAATTACAGGAAAGTGTTTCAGAACGTGGATTTAACAGAACGTCTAGGTAACCCCACTGCTTGTTGTTGCTAAAATCTGTCACACTATCATACTAAAATTAGAGTCTTCCTGAGGGGGTACGTAAGTCCCAAAGCATTCGAAGTAAATTCAAATCTACCGTTTGCTATCGCTGTATATTTGTTTTGTTTAGTGATGGCTAAATTTGAGCACAATCGCCAACATCTAAAAGGACGATATAAATCCAGCTAGGGTCCATGCAGGTAGCAAAAGTACTATGAATCCCCGTGGACTTCAGTATGGTGATCTGCCTGCAGTTGCTGGCGATCTAAAGCTTGTATTTACATTGTATATTGTCCGTATGGTGCTATTATTTTAACATTAAATGCCAAGTTTAAATCTAACTGTGATGCCACAGTTGTTTTACTGTCCCTTGACGACAGGTTTTATAGTATACATTAAATCCTTGTCAATGTCAAATTGGTTCTGGTCACGATAAGGTTGAAACATTCCCGATGCGACGATGACTATTACCCCACACACCCATTCACTGAGTTACAGGAAAGTGTTGCAGAAAGTGGAGTTGGTAGGTCATGGTGTAAATTCCACTGCTTCTTGCTGCCAAACTGTACCATGCCACTACCAACCTGTTGGTCGAATAATCACAGATTCGTCTAGCTTGTTGACATTTTATCGTGAGAAGCCTGCTACAAACCGCCGAAGAATATACCAAAAGAGTCCAGGTTAATGGAATATTAAGTTGAATGTCTTTCCAGATTCAATATGTGAAAGAATGCACAGAACTGGTCTATCTATTTGTAAATTAAGGCAGAAAACTGTCCATTGAAAAATCGAAATAAATTTGTCAATTATGCAATATAGAAACAGAAAATGTCCTTTTAACAGTAACATTTCCAATAGTATTTGATATTGATGCCACTAGTGAAAAGGTTTTGTATTTATTTTTACGAGAACGAACAAATCAAATCTTAAGGCTGTCACTATTATATTATACAAACGTCAGACAAAAAAAAATTTTTTTGAAACAGTGTATGTCTGTGGGTCTGTGTGATAGATATATCTATATGCAACTCTCTTGTATTTGTTGCAGATGTCTTTTCTACAAGAAACCTATTTGACTTCGAACTCTTTCTAATCAGGCGTTGGAACCAATCTCCTCAAAGTTTCCACATCAAATTCTTTTCCATTTCTTAACCCTGGCTATGCTGCCATATGTTGTTTTATGTAGCATGATGAGCATGCACTCGTGGGTGAACATGGCACGGTGGAATCGTCATTATTCTCTGTATTTGCATAATTAGATTCCAATAGATTCCTATAGTAGAAGATGTAAACTTATTGGCTAAAGATATAAAGATATGTACGGTACAATATGATCAAGACAATTGTCCTGCCTGCTCGTGTTTTAGGTCCGAGGTGGCTCCTGTCAGTTGAAGACTTGTCCAAACATGAGGTGTCTGGAGACTCGAACTGGCAAAACTGATTGTGTGAAAGGTAAATGTCGTAACATGTAAAACCTGAACAGTATCGCCATTACTCATCTTCCATTTACAATCACTATTTTCTTATGTTGCCGCGTTGTTCAGTTGAACATTTGACTTGGCTTTGCATGTGTTTGTGACGACAGGTTCACATGGTATCATCACAGTTCACTATTTGAAAGTCCTGCCCGCTAGATCTGGACTCCGTTTGAAGTATGGCGGAATTCTGCCGCTTTTGTTTTGAAGGTTATCTGTGGGATTAGACTGTAATCATACCGGTGAATCGGTCACTTTAATTAGCGGTCTTAAACTGCCATTTAAGTACGGTTTTGATGAGCTCTCAGCCAATCAGAATCGAGTATTACACAATGTCGTGCTTGCATAATAATTAAAATTGTTAAAAAGGTCCTAAATTGAAACTGAAGTATTTATCCCATATGATGGAAAAATCAACACAGTCAAGCAGGACATGCTTGACCGTGATTCTTGCATCACAAAGAATACAAAACGGAGGATGCTCGCCTTTCAATAAATATCCGTGTGTATATCTAGTATGGTCAATGTGACATCGTCGCATAATGACCTCCTCACATCTGGACAGACAACAGAAGGAGGTGTAACCGGTGATTGGTTTTATTTCATGTAGTTTATTAATGCCTAACTGGGTGTCCCACTTCTTTTGCATCAGATCACGGATGTGAGATTTACGAGTTCACAATCAGTGTATGGAATGAGCAGTGGTGTTACAGATTTGTTGAGTGCTGCCTCAGCAGCAAAGTCGGTCATGGTGTTACCCGAAATTCCAACGTGGCTTGGTAACCAACAGACGACAATGTCGTATTGACCACTAGCATGATCATTATACAATTCAATACTTTCTGTTGAAAGTGGGTGTTTACAAGAATCGGTTTTTAATAATTTCGTGAATATACGAAAGAGCGTCAGAAAAGAATATTATTTTGTTTGCGTTAAGGGTGTTTTTAATATATTTTAGAAGTGTTAATATATGTAAAAATAGAGCTGCTATCCGGTATTCTAGAAGATACTGTTCTGGATCCTATTCTGAAGTGCTAAGAGTTAGCTAAGAAGAATAGCAGAGTAAAACCATTGCTGGTTTGCTTGAAAATAGAAACTAGCTGTACAATTATTCAATCGAGTTACTCTTCCTGGAGAATTTTCCATTTAACCAGTACATGTAAACTATCATGTCTATCATCCAATAAGTAACCTTCATTTGAATCAGAAAGTATATGTAAGCTATTTTTCTGTCAAACATGTAAGCGTTCCAATAAGTAAATTTCATTTGCGTTTGTCCAATTGTTTTAGGAGGAGGACTCAACTCACCGATAATCATTAATAATTTTGCCATTTTTGTTTAATATACTAGAGGTATTTGTGTCTTTGAATAAATGTATAGTCATATGACATGTCTTGTGAGACTAGCGTCCACTGTGCGAAATCCATGTGTTTAAAATTCACAATCAAATTGTGATGATATAAAGAGCTGGCCAAAAAGCTGAGGGCAATCTGCCACTCCAGTTGTTCCAATAACAAGACGTGCAAAGGCAAGTTAACAAATCTTCCTGCCTGAAATGGATCTACAACCCTTTACCTTTAATGTTTTATACGTTTCATTTCAAAAACCAAATATTAACAAATCTGTCGAATAAAATTATAATTGAGGTGTTGGAGATGATAATACATGCTTTCTACATATGCGTTACCATGTTTCTAGGATATGATTTGTTCAGGTTTTATCGAATGATTGTTTGTTTTCCTCCAGAAAAATGGAATCATAGTGAATTAAACACTACTCTCCTAGATGCCTGCACGGTTGGAGATTTGGCTCGAACCAAGAAACTTTTGTCTGAAGGCCAGGCAAATATCAACTCAATGGGGAGGGGCAACATGACACCGGTGATGCACGCAGCAAAAGCGGGACATAGAGAAGTGTTTGACCTACTTGTCAGGGAAGGTGCCAACCTGTCTTTAGTGGATCATCGAAACCGGAACATTCTCTTTTTCGCTTGTTTTGGGGGAAATGTTGAAATCGTCAGGTATGTCCTCGAACAGAATATTGCAAGCATCAACAGCCGAGATATGGATAGGCAGACGCCAGCAATGAATGCAGCGTTATACAAAAGACAAGACGTGTTTTATTTACTGGTGGAGGCAGGAGCAGATCTGTTACTGGTGGATGATTTCAAACAAACCGTCCTTCATGTGGCCTGTCAAGGGGGTAATGTTGAGATAGTCAAGGCTATCCTCACACACCACACTGTGGACATCAACAGTCGTGCAATGAGCGGCTGGACACCCGTAATGTATGCAGTAAGTGATGGACAAAAGGATGTGTTTGATGTTCTTGTGGAGGAAGGGGCAGATCTGTCACAAGTGAGTAATGACAAAGAAAGCATCCTTCATATGGCCTGTGGAGGGGGTAATGTTGAGATAGTAAAGTATCTCCTGACACTTTCAGTTCTGGACATTGACAATCGAGACATCTACGGCCGGACACCAGTAATGCATGCAGTAAGTAAGGGACGTAAGGGTGCGTTTGACGTTCTTGTGGAAGCAGGAGCAGATCTGTCACTAATTACTAATGGCGCAGAAACCCTCCTTCATTCGGCCTGTAAAGGGGGTAATGTTGGGATACTCCAGTACCTCCTGAAACATGGCGTTGTGGACATCGACAGTCAAGATGTGGATGGATGGACACCAGTAATGCATGCAGTCAATGCTGGGCATAAAGATGCTTTAGCCTTTCTTGTTGAACAAGGTGCAGATCTGTTATTAGTGAATAATGCCAAAGAAACCATCCTTCATGTGGTCTGTGATAGTGGATCTGTTGAAATAATCAAGTACCTCCTGAAACTTGGCATTGTGGACATAGACAGTCGAGATATCAACGGATGGACACCAGTGATGCGTGCAGCCAGTGTTGGACAAAAAGATGTGTTTGACGTTCTTGTGGAAGCAGGAGCAGATCTGTCACAAGTGGGCAATAAGAAAGAAACCATCCTTCATGTGTCTTGTAAAAGAAACACTGTTGAGATAATCAAGTACCTCCTGACACATGAAATTGTCGACATCGACAGTCGGGATATCAACGGTTGGACACCAGCAATGTTTGCAGCCAGTGAAGGACGTAAAGATGTGTTTGACGTTCTTGTGGAGGCAGGAGCAGATCTGTCACTAGTGAGTACTTACAATGAAACCATACTTCATGTATCCTGTGAAAACGGAAATGTTGAGATAATCAAGTATCTCTTGAAACATGCTATTGTCGACATCGACAGTCGGAATATGGACGGTTGGACACCAATAATGCAAGCAACCTGTGAAGGACATAAAGATGTGTTTGACGTTCTTGTGAAAGGGGGAGCTGATCTGTCACTGCTGGATGAAAACAATGCCAACATCCTTCATCTGGCTTGTTGTCACGACAGTATCGAGATAATCAAGCAGCTCCTGACAGACAAACTTGTGGATATTAACAGTCGAGATGGGGACGACTGCACGGCAGCAATGATTGCAGCACGTCGCGGAGATGAGGCTATCTTTAACTTACTTGTTGAGAATGAGGCAGATCTAACAATTACAAATGATGCTGGTGATAACATCCTAAATATGGCGTGTGACGGGGAAAATGTACAGATAGTGAAGTATGTTTCCACACGACACATTGTTGAGGGGCCATACAGGGAAGACGATCCATGTTGAAGGAGTCCCTATCATATGTAAAAGAATTTCTTTCATCGTTTTTTGACACATCAATCCATTGATCAATGGGCTTTGGCCTTTTGATAGCCTTTTTGATAGCGCTTCAGAGTTGCCTTCCTTGGCAGTCCTGTTTATTTACGGTTTCATCATGCCATAGATTTTTTCACCGATTTCGACGGATTTCCACAAAGTTCAGAGTGGATAATGATACAGCCTAGCTTTGCTAGAATGCTCGAAAACTGTGTAAGAGCTATACAAAGGCTGGTTGTTGTGTTGTGAGACTCGGAATCACACGGACTTTTCACGTAACTGGATTTATGTACATCTGTCTGCCATCGTCGTGCTTGCCTATTCGTCGACTGTCATTGTAAACAACCTTTAATCACTGTATCTGCTCTCACTGTAAATGCCAAGACTCTTTAGAGTTAATATCCTATATTTGTGACCCAATATATTAGATTTGTGATTCAAGTGTATCGTACTAGAAATCTGGATTGTCATTCATTGTAGTTTGCTCATTGTTTGTTCAATATGTTATCATCACTGCTTTTACAATTTAGCTTGTGCATTAATCCCTTCATTTTATTTTAACTGAACTGAACTGAACTTTATTTCAACTCAGGCCACAGACAGCGGCATATGAGGTTACAAATATGTTACAATTAAATATATTCACATAGTGTGTGCAGTCGAGTATTTCATATATACAGATGAATAAGTATTGCATTATATATATAGATAGATTGCAAATCTATCTGCAAATAGATTGCATAAGGATAATAGAAATATTTAGATGGAGTTATTCTTACCGAAGATTCTGAAAAACATTTATGATATTACAGAATCTGAGTTTTCTAAGAATACCTTTCTTATTTTATTGAATAATACATTGTATACATATTATGAAATTTGGTTTGGAATAAAATATGGCTTTAAATATTTAACTCTTGCATTTATAGAGTGGGAACAAATAGATAAATAATGAAATGCATCGCCAATGTCCTTTCCATTACAAAGTTTGCATATTCTATCACGTTTTTGAATATTGCTCCAGCGGCCTGTTTCAATGGGTAAGTTAGGATTTGCTGTTTCATAACATAACAATGCCTTTGAACAATTACCATTTAAAATATCCAAATATTTACTCAACCTTAAATCTTAGTTAGATAAGGAGCTATATAAGTTATCTTTTGATGAATGTTCTACCGTAGACAACCACACTTGTTTATACGCCTCTTCTAGTTTTCATTCAAAATTTTGGGAATTCCAGATATAACTAAGTCCAATTTCGTCAAAAAAATATTTAATATTATTATCCATTTATGCTAACTTTTTCCAAAATGTGTGTCGTTAAAATGTAATTTAGACATGAGTAAGGATAATTTGGAAGATTTACCTAATTAGTATGGCACTGACCAGTGAGTCAGGTTCATTATAAGAGTAGGGGTGCATTTTTCTAATCCCAATTAGCCTACATTGCTTCTGTATGCGAAATGGGATGTAGGCGAATTGAGATGTAGGCGAATAAAGACTAAACCGAAAGGCATAAGGAGATGGATACCACCAAGTCTGACAACAAACTGAAGCTAGAGTACTTTTGTTCTGGTGGGAAGCTACACTATCAACAGCTTTCTCATATAGAGGTTGGTCAAATGTCACAAAACATGTTTTCTGTCCATGTTTCCTGCACTTGTCAGCAGAATATGCCAGCACAGAATATACTGCGTCTGGATTCGATGCCTGCAAGTTGACAAATAGCAATGGGATCACTTTGGATATTTCATAATTGTCAACACTTCTGGTACACTCCATGTATCCGCTCCAGCAGGGAGTGTCCTCAAATTTCAACTATACTCCATTCATCCAAAGCGTATCCAAAAGAATATGCACAGAGCTGGAAGAGGTCAGCTTTCTGACATTGGAAATGTCATCAACAGTCGAACCAAGCAAACTTTTCTTGCTCTGAAATGAACAAGTCAAAATATCAATTGACTTAGACCTGACATTGTTTGCTGAAACAGCTTTGTTACGCTTGATAACATCAGATATACAGACAGATCTACCTGGTGTGTCAAACATGATTCCACCCATACTATGAAATGTGCCATATCCACCAAGTGTGCGAACATTAAAATCTGCATTGTCAAAGGCAAATTGCACGAAGGCATGTTCATAAGTAATAGCCTCATTATATGATGAACACACTCCCAACCCTGACATAACATCCAGAAGGTGCTTAGATCCAATGTGTCGGTGAATATACACGGCTTAACCAAGTTGTATCATAGAAAGAAATCTTTCTTTCTCTTGTTGCTGAGAGTATTTGGTGATAAATAACAGATGCCTTCCTTTGCTTTCTTATCTTTGTTTGTAATCCTTTCGACCAAAAAACACTGAGAGTTTTAGACACATTTATCATGTGATTATGGAAAGGATCATCAGCAGGAGTGTGATGGTCAGTATCACAAAGCATTGACCTGATGTCCTGATATCCGCATTACTATGAGCAACCATTCTTCTTCAGGGTTCGCCAACTTCTGAGAATACCATGCATCGCTAAGAATCTTGTGGCCAGTTTCTAATGCAAAATAACGATTTCCTTCAACGAATGCTAGAAATGATAACACCATCACCAAAGTGATAGCAATTTTGATATCAGGGTTTTTTCACTACATTCACTCTCACCATCAACATGAAATTCTCTCAGTTTGTTCACGAGATCCTCTGTTGAATTCTGACATTCATCATTTTGTTCCAGAAATTCAAACAAATAATCCAAGGCTCTGCTAAGTTTTTCATGTGCAGGTCTACCCTATCCCTCGGATAGAACGCGGTCTGTTAAAGAATTTCTTATGACTTGTATGGTGATGCCTGGCTTCGGCAGCCACTAAATCTATGGCGCTTGATATCCGTTCAATAACAGCTCGACCCCACACATCACCACGATATTCAGCCATCTCAAGAATGGAATCTTTGGAACTAATCGTTCGGAGTTCTAAAATATCCCTCTTGCCATTAGGTTGTTTAGTCTCTGAAACTATATCACAATTTTCTCCAAAGAACAAGCAATTCATTTTGAAATTCACAGTCTTTCGAGGTGAGGGATTCACAGCTGCTAAAATGGAAGATTCACGAGTGTAATCTTTGCGGCAGTTTACATGAACTGGAATTTACATGAACTGATAATTTTTCAGAAGTTCCATCTTTGCGCCTGACACTACTTTGCACTAAGGTAGTTAGACCTCTTGTGACGGGTGACAATATCACCAGGAGATAAACTTTTGCTGCATATGATACAACACTCTGTTGGATCCATCGTGAAATAAAACTTGTCAGTGGAACTAGCAGGTTGAAATGTGGATATGCTTCACTATGTCATTGCTAGAGACCCTCTCAAAACTATCATGAAGAGAAATGATGGAAGCAAGGATAGAAATGTTGTGAAAAGCACAAGCAATCGATTTCTCACAAACCATCAAATCAAATTGGTCCATCAAACTAGAAACTTTAGAAAACTGTTACTGCATTTGCTTCAGTGAATGGAAGCTGTTCAACTGTTCGTGTTAAACTATTCGCTGACAAAAAATCAAACCCTTGATCAATGCTATGCATCTTAGGACCCCTTAAGTGGGAGACCATAGTTTATGAGCAATTATGGAAGAAAAGAGCAAGTGATAGTTTACCGCCTGAGGGAATTGTTTCAGCCATTCGTGGGATTTTGTGAAATAATTGTTGGTTAAGTACCAGTGCTTTTATAATTGTTGCGATTTTCAATGGAAATGAAATTATAATTATAAGTATAGTCATTATATTAAAATTTTTAGATAATGTTCAATTTGCCATGAAAGTAGTAAAATGTTTACTTATCAGTAACTTTGATGAATATTATTGTGATAAGACTCATGCATGCTGGTTATTACAAAGCGAGTGGATAGGGGTTGGGGGCAACACAGTAATCTGGCTGGTATGCAAATCAATGAAATTTCCCGTTTTGCTAGTTTCAATTTAAATGTTTAAATGAAATATGTACAGCAATTTATTCATGCCTGTATAAGACCAATTAAATTTCATTTCAAAAGTTTCAGGCCGAAAATAATTATTTTCTACTTTTAAAGTATTTTTATACACGTGCACTATCATCCATTATATCTGTGCACTGTGAATTTAGGGATTTATGGGGACTTTTAGTATGTTATGCTGGAAGGTCCATAGAACTTATATGCCAGGTTTCGTTTCTTCATCAATTTTCCGACCTTGGCCAAAACAATGGCTAATTTGGCTTTCCTACTATTACTTGTTTGGATTACTTTGGGCAAAATGCCGTCAATCATGATGATTCATTGTGGGATGCCATTTTCCAGGGCGGATTTGTCTGAAAGTGCTTGATTTGATTTTACTGTAACAATTCCGTCTGGTAGTAAAGAATTTATACTTTTACCATTTATGTCATTTTTTGTTACATTTCTGGTAGTCCGTTGTGTCAAACCATGTTGAAAGTTTGACTGGAATGAAATGAAAGATGGCCATAGTGCAGTGTGGTTTTTTTGCTTGTGCATCTATGACATCTCGTTCTATATGTAGATTATGGTGTAAAGTTTGTCTGTTTGGTGTGATTCCACTCATCATGCCCCAGTTGCGTAGATCGATGCTCATGCTGTTGATCACTCGATTGTCTGGTCAAGACTGGATTATTTAGAGACCGCCGCCATATAGCTGAAATATGCCTAAGTACGGCGTAAAACTAAACTCTCTCACTCACGTTTTAAAATGTATAGAGGACAAGATGTGTTAACTGCAAATTGTGAGAGTAATTGTTCAACGGGACTACTAACCTAACTTACTTACTCAATACTGATGCATCTTCAAACCCATCTTGGACACATGTTCCAATGAACAGACATTTGGTATGCTGAAGCACTTTACCGATATCTAGAAACGGATCACACTCTGATTGAATCTACACATGTACTCATTACCTGGTGGTATGTGAATTTGATCCT